TGCCTGGCTTCTTCCACTCAGTATAATGTTTCTGAGATTCATCCATCCAGTGTTCCAATTTATTTATCCTAGTATTTTGTCCACCCATATTATTTTCCACAAATTATGCAAAGGTAAATTTTAGCCCAGTTTATCCCAGTTATCACAATGGATAAATTATTGATCTTTGAATTTGATAAACAAGTTTGTATTATTTGAGTATGCTTTCTGGTGTTTTCCCTAAGATCCATAGGGAATTATGAAAGAAGAGTTTTTTTAAGCAAAATCTAACTGTATGAAAACAAAAATGCAGGATTTGTGATTAATGTGGAAAGTATAACTTTCAGAGATTGACATTTTAGTAATTAGATAAATTTCTGGGATCTAATTGAGAATTTTATGACTCATGTCTAAGCATATAAACAAGTATAAAGTATAGAATAAATGCTCCTTATTGTAATGTTTTTCTGGGCATTTGTAAATTAGAGAAAATGAGATTTTAAGAACTGGTTTTCCTTCTTTCTTTCTACTTAATAATGAAACAGAATATGGCTACTACTTGCTCTTCAATTAGGTAATTAGTTTAGCATGTTCAGTATAGGCAGGCAAGTTTGATTAATGCTCATGAGAAACTTTAATGTGAACCTACTCACAATAATTTTCCAGATAAATGCTTCTTTAGTACACTGTTAAATTTGTGCTAGCAGTCCATATGTTATTTATGATTGCAGAGGTGATTCTGTTACTATCCTTTTGGGAAATGGAAAATTAAATCATGATTTGAGGGAAAAATAGAATTCCGGCTTAATCAGTTAAATTGCCATATAATTCTGGAATAGACAAAATAATTGCATGTCAGGCAAAATTTGAAGTGATAGATTTGTATTTCCAACTTTCTTTTTATTTGTTCTGACACAAATAAGTTTGGTTTATTCTAAATTGCACTGGTTGTCAGTAGTGTTTACACACAATCTTAGGTGATTTTTTAAAAATTAGCTAATTAAAAAAATCATAGATTTATATTTACTACTATTATGTTTAAGAACAAATCAAGAAAAGTACTGTATTTTAAAATTCTAATTATGACTTTAGCTCTACAGAAATATTTCATTATTCTGTTTTGCTAATTAAAAAATCAGAGTGAATGTTACTATGTGGTATCCTATTTTGCTCAGACCCATCAAAGCTTTTTCTTAGAATTAGGCCTTTAAGTATCTGATTAGGACCATTCCTGTTTACTTTGGATAGGCAGTAGTAAAAGAAAAGGCTTTCTGTTCTTGTAAGTCCTTGTGAAAGTGAATTTATCAACTGGATAATAGGAGTAATAACACACGCCACATCCTTTGGTCACCTTGGGAAATTATGAAAAGGCAGAGTTGTAAATGTTGTGTTGTTATTTACCATATTTTGTAATTATGAATTATATACTTAACATTTGAATTCCTTGAATTAGTAATGTTTTGTGAAAGGTAAAGTGATCTTGATTCTTATGAGAAGCTTTTCTCTTCCCCTGGCATTTCTTCTAGAAATCCCCTTTATTTACTCTATCAAGATTCAACCATAGAAGCTAATGGTTTAGGAAGTAGGAGAATCATAATGTTAACCTGCAGCCAAGAAAGGTCAGAGGCAGGTTACCAATTCCTGAAGTCTGTTGCTTCTGTGATTTTACCTGTGTTTGATCACTTAATCTTTCTCAACAGGTCATGAGAAGTTTGCCAAATTAAGTTAATTACAAAAGAGAAGGAACACATTATAAATCAAGTGCTAAGTGCTTACGACAGCATTGGTATTTGCAGGGAAGATCAGTCATTTGAAAATGTATTAAGTGCTTAGATGTTAATTTGAAAATACTGTATTTTGCTAATAGCAAATGTTAATCAATACTTTAACCAGGGGCACAGGGAATATAGATATCTATATAATAAACTTTCTCTTACCCCCACAAGGAACATTTATTTAGTTAATCTGTAGTATTCAGTGACTGATAAATGATGAGAATTGTCAGTCTAGTTAGAAAACCCATTTTAAAATCATCATGGGATATTCAGCAGTGTTTCTCATACTGATTATGTGCACTATATTGAATTTAATATGCCATGAACTTGTTTTTAAATATGCAAAGATAACATTTTTAATCCATTGTATTTTGTTTTCTTTATAAAATTCAGTCCCAGTTTGGTTTTACAACTTCACAAACTAGAAATGCATATTTTAAAACATGTTTACATCATTTTAATATATAGCAGAGTTTTATTTGACAACTCTTTACTGCAGAAACGTATCTTGTCAACTAATAATTACTGAAAAATTTTAAAGATTCTGACTTTAAATAATTTTAGAGATGTCTTGCAACTTTAAAATATTTACTAGAAATTACATTTATATTTTACTTTTGTTGAAATTGTAAATATTTGTTTAGAGGCCTGAGAAGTAGAAATGGTTCACATTTCTATAGAAATATAAATTTCACTTATAAATTATGCTTCTTATTTCATAAAAATTTTCTAGTCAAAAGAGGATAATTTTATTTTTTTAATTTATTTTTTATTCTTTTTTATTAACATAATGTATTATTTGTTTCAGGGGTACAGGTCTGTGATTCATCAGTCTTACACAATTCACAGAGCTCACCATAGCACATGCCCTCCCCAGTGTCCATCACCCAGCCACCCTATCTCTCCCACCCCCCTCCACTCCAGCAACCCTCAGTTTGTTTCCTGAGATTAAGAGTCTCTTATTGTTTGTCCCCCTCTCTGGTTTCGTCTTATTCATTTTTCCCTCCCTTTCCCTATGATCCTCTGTCTTGTTTCTCAAATTCCTCATATCAGTGAGATCATATGATAATTGTCTTTCTCTGATTGACTTATTTCGCTTAGAATAATACCCTCTAGTTCCATCCACGTCGTTGCAAATGGCAAGATTTCATATTTTTTTGATGGCTGCATAATATTCCATTGTATGCATATACCACATCTTTATCCATTCATCTGTTGATGGAATCTAGGCTCTTTCCATAGTTTGGCCATTGTGGACATTGCTGCTATAAACATTGGGGTGTAGGTGCCCCTTCAGATCACTACATTTGTATCTTTGGGGTAATTGCTGGGTCATAGGGTAGCTCTATTTTTAACTTCTTGAGGAACCTCCATACTGTTTTCCAGAGTGGCTGCACCAGCTTGTATTCCCACCAACACTGTAGGAGGGTTCCCCTTTCTCCGCATCCCTGCCAACATCTGTCATTTCCTGACTTGTTAATTTTAACCATTCTGACTAGTGTGAGGTGGTATCTCATTGAGGTTTTGATTTGTATTTCCCTGATGCCGAGTGATGTTGAGCACTTTTCCATGTGTCTGCTGGCCATTTGGATGTCTTCTTTGGAGAAATACCTGTTCATGTCTTCTGCCCATTTCTTGATTGGATCATTTGTTCTTTGGATGTTGAGTTTGATAAGTTCTTTGCAGATTTTGGATACTAGCCCTTTATCTGATATGTCATTTGCAAATATCTTCTCCCATTCTGTCGGTTGTCTTTTGGTTTTGTTGACTGTTTCCTTTGCTGTGCAAAAGCTTTTTATCTTGATGAAGTCCCAATAGTTCGTTTTTGCCCTTGCTTCCCTTGCCTTTGGTGATGTGCCTAGGAAGAAGTTGCTGCAAGTGAGGTCGAAGAGGTTGTTGCCTGTGTTCTCCTCAAGGATTTTGATGGATTCCTGTCTCACATTGAGGTCTTTCATCCATTTTGAGTTTATCTCTGTGTATGGTATAAGGAAATGGTTCTGGTTTCATTCTTCTACATGTGGCTGTCCAATTTTCTCAGCACCGTTTATTGAAGAGACTGTCCTGTTTCCATTGGATATTCTTTCCTGCTTTGTCGAAGATTAGTTGACCATAGAGCTGAGGGTCCATTTCTGGGCTCTCTATTCTGTTCCAGTGATCGGTGTGTCTGTTTTTGTACCAGTACCATACTGTCTTGATGATGACAGCTTTGTAATAGAGCTTGAAGTCCGGAATTGTGATGCCACTCGCTTTGCTTTTCTTTTTCAACATTCCGAAAGAGGAGAGTTTTAAAATCAAGTTTATGTTTTTGTAGGTTATCACACTACTTAAACATTTAAATTGGCCAATTTTGCAGTGAAATCTTAGTGTACTTCAACTAAAAGTGAAGCCTTAATGAAAATTTTATTAAAGTCCAAATTTAGAGCATTGATGAAAGAAATTAAAGACAACACAAGCAAAATAGAAGGATATTCCATACTCATGGGTTGGGAGAAAAATATTGTTAAAAGGTGCATACTGCCCAAAGCAGTCTGCAGATTTAATGCAATCCCTATCAAAATACCAATAGCATTTTTCACAGAACTAGAACAAATAATCCTAAATTTGTATGGAACCACAAAAGACCCCAAATAGCCAAAGCAATCTTGAAAAAGAAAAACAAAGCTGGAGGAGGTATCACAATTCTGGACTTCAAATTATACTACAAAGCTTTGGTAATCAAAACAATATGGTCCTGGCACAAAAATAGACACAGATCAGTGGAACAGGATAGAAAGCCCAGAAACAAACCCACATTTATATGGTTAATTAATCTTTACCAAAAGAGGCAAGAATATGCAATGGGAAAAAGACAAATCTCTTCAACAAAATGGTGTTGGGAAAACTGGGCAGCCACAGGCAAAATAATGAAATTGGACCATTTTCTTCTACCATAGAGAAAAATAAACTCAAAATGCATTAAAGACCTAAATGTGAGACCTGAAACCATAAAAATCCTGGAAGAGAACATGGGCAGTAATTTCTCTGACATTGGCCATAGCAACATTTTTCTAGATAGGTCTCCAGAGGTAAGGGAAATAAAAGCAAAGAATAAAACCCAAATTCTGTTTTATTGAAGAAAAGATATTTGATCTCTTGCTAGTGATAAAATAGATAATGTTAGCTCTCATTAGCAATGTGAAGGTAAGATTGTGATTTTGAACCTGCCATGAAATTGAACCTAATTGCATTTTTTTTTTTTTAAATTAGTTTGCAGGTCGAAGTAAGAAGGAAACCAAATACTCTCTTAAGGCAGTCGAAGACATGTTGGAAACACTGCAGATCACCCAGTCTTAAGGTTTCAAACTCTTTCACATTACATTTCACAACTGCACAATTGAACTTTCTGGCTTGTGACTACTAACTGCCTAGTGCTATTTATATACTAATTTTTTGTTAAGAGGGCAATTGTAAAGAATGTTTATATAGACCTAAAAATGCCTTTTATTGCTAAGCAGGAAGATGGAGAAAGTCCATGGAAGAGAGATTTAACAAGATTCATATTGATTGTACATCATTCTCTTCATAGCACACATATATATCTTCTTTTAAACCACAACCTGATGTAGAAATCCCATAAATAAATCATGTGATTTATTAAACTTGCATTTGAAGATTCTAGATTCTTTTTGTTACACTCAAATAGTGAATATGTTGTTTCAGAATTCAGTTTCTAATTAACTCCTTTTTGTTTGTGATAAGAAATACAGAGCATGCATTGCTGACAAGCAAAATGTTGGCAAATTATTTTGATTCTCTTTATAGTGTCAAGTTGGATTTTGCTGTGCATTCCAGTAGGCTATTGTTTTATGTGCTATAATGTTATTCTCATAAATCTTGCTTAATAATGTTCAGTAATATCTCTGTAAAATTTTTGTTTTGCCATAGGACATAATTGAGATTTTTACCAATAAAAAGCTCTAAGTTTCATGTATGCTATAATGCTATAATGCTATAACCTTTATGAAAGTTAAATTTATTGAACTTTTAAGTATTTTGCATAAAATAATATTAAAACAGACAATAGGGATGAAAGAGGTTTCAGTAGCTGAGTTATTTTTACTTAGGGAAAATAAAATCTAAACTATGTTTAAGAGCAAATTTTTACAATTCTCATATTTAATTGCCTCCTTGGTAATAATAAGAGCTTCTTTTTCCTTTTTCTCTTTTCATGATAAACAACCGTTATACTACCTTCAACAATATTTTGCATGTTTCAGTGGAATAGAAAGAACTTTGAGACACTTAGAGAACTTTATTCAGACACAAATCAGTCATTCAGGGCATGTATTGTTAGTAGTAGTTTGTAATTTACATATACAAATTACATGTTGTATGTATCACATACATGTATAATTACTTAATATAAATAGTTTACAATAGTATACAGAAACTCCTGCATACTTGTCATTGCTGGATTTAGGCAAATGGGGTTCATGGAGGACTTGACAACCTGGAAGTATTTAGGAAGAAACTATTGTCAATATCAGTTTTTTAATCTTTTGAATAATTCTGTTAGTATATTATTCTCCATATCTGGTCTCATTCTGTTATTTTGCAGTCTTTTTCATTTCATTCTGCCATGAGAAATGAGCAGATGTGAAATAACTCTCCCCATAGAAAGCTAATTCTTATCAACAAATCTTTGTTATCACAGGATGCACTCTTTTTTGCCAGTGAATTTAGTAACTGCATTTTCAACATAATCAGCCACCTCAGATTTATTTTCTATAAAGTGCTCATATATTATTCCACTACTTTATCTCAGTCTCCTATCCATCACTAGGGTAGTGTTTACTTTAGCAATTATATTTGTGTAAGGTAGTGCCTTGTATAACTGTCAGCCTAAGTTTCACTTTATTTTTCTAATTTTAATACCTGCTTGCTAAGAATTTTTTATGAAGTACATTGTTAATGTGTAATTTATAAACCTCAGTTTAAATGTACTGATCATCCTATTGTGGCAGACATTTGCCAACTGCTTTTACCGCCACTTTTTGCTTGTTAAGGTATCTTACATTGTTCAGGTAGGAGCAGAAATCCCTGCTCTTCAAGGAGATAAGGACCTTACCTTACCTCAGCCCTAGGATATGTATCATGATTGACCTAAAACAGAGGTGGTTTCATTTCTTACGGTCTGTGAGATGCCAAGGCAGAACTTTTTTCAGTTAAGGAAATATTCTGTATTTGTGCTGTCCGGTATGGTAGCCACTAACTGTAGCTTTTGAGCACTTGAAATATGGCCAGTAGAACTGAGAAATTGAATTTTTAATTTAATTTAATTTTAATTTTAATAGCTGCATGTGACTCAGGGCCACCATCGTGGGTAGTGTGCAAATATCTAAAGTATGGGCATATGACCTATTTAAGGCTAATAAAATGAACAGAAGCCTATTGGGAAGGGTCTTCCTTTCAAATTAAAAAGTCAGAGCTTTGTGAAGTGAGGCTTTTTGCCTCTTTCTCCTTCAGGCCATGAGTGTCAACAACATACTTAGAGATACAACAGCCATCTTACAACTACGAAACAATAAATAGGAGAATAAAAGCTACTTTTCAGAGATGGCCTTGTAGTTAGATTAGAGAGAGCCTGTGTTCCTGATGGCATGTTGAACACCTGAACCAACATGAGCATTTGCCAACCTCTGCACTTATTACATGAGAAAAATAAACTCTTGATTAAGACATTGTTTGGATTTTCTGTTACTTTTGCCATGTATATTTCTGACTAATAAATATCCATCAGCTTTTTTTTTTTTTTTTTTAGTATGCAAAACTCTCTAAAATTTTGGACATGCTGGGAATGGTGTTTCAAAACGTAATGATTTAAAGTTAAGTAGACAAGTACATACAATAAAAAAAGTAATATCTTGTTGCAACTCAGCATACATTATTTAAGCCAACCTTAACCATAGGATATTACTGACTTGGAAGCAGAGGAGGATGTAGAAAAGATAGAAATGGAAAACTAGTGCTTCAGTACGCTGGGAGCATATAATTTTTATTGGTAAATATTTCAAAGAATCTTTTTTTTCTGATGCCACAATCCATCTATTCTCAAAGTAACTTTATTTTACTTTATTTCATAGAACTGTAGGATTTTAGAAGAGACTTTAAAGATGAATTAGTTATATTCCATTTTAGGATGAGGAATCAAGGTTCTGAGAAATTAAGCTCTTCTGAGACAGAGCAGGACCAGGATGTCAGGGGTTCCCAAGTCAGTGTTCTTTCTAGTATACTCTGAGGCATATGTCTATTCTGTGATATGTTCTTCCTATTTTAAAATGAGAAAAATAAGAGATATATCCAAGGGGCATTGCTTGTTAGAGCAGGGATTAGAATTCAGATTTTCTGACTTGTAAAACAGTTTTTTAGTGGAATAATAAAGTCATAATTTCTTTTTAAAGTCATAATTTCATTTTGAATTAAACTGAACTTAAACTAAATTGACCATTTAAGCTATTACTTCATGTAATCATTGTGAGAACTCTTTTAGACTATTTAGAACTACTTCGAACCTCTTTCACTTTGAACCTCTGATGTATCCTATCTCCCTTCTCACTCTTGACAAGTAACCTCTTGTTATAGACTGAATTGTGTCCCCCCAGTATTCATAAGTCAAAATCCTAACCCCCACTACCTCTGTATGTGATTTTATTTGGAGATAGAGTCTTTAAAGTAATAATTAAGGTAAAATTAGGTCATATGGGTGGGCTGTAATCCAATATGATTGGTATCTTTGTAAGAAGAGATTAGGACACAGACAACAGAGGAAAAACCATGGGAAGACAAAGAGAAGATTCCCATCTACCAGCCAAGGAGTGATTCCACAGAAGAAACCAACCCTCCTGACACCTTGATCTGGGACTTCTGGCCTTTAGAACTGTGATGAAATAAATTCCTGTTTTTTTAAGACACCCAGTTCTCTGTGTACTTTGTTAAGGCAGCCTAGCAAACTAATAGAGCTCTCCTACTATTTCACAGAGAAAAACATACCCAGTATCAGACATTTTTGTACCCGATTTCACCTCTTTTTCTCTTACAGTAGAAGCAACTAGCCCTGCCCTTTTCTGAATGATTTCCAATGATTGTCCCCCTCATTTTTTTATACTTAAGCCTTACTTTAGTTTTATGAATTTGCCATACTGCCTTCTACCATAGAACATCCTGCCTTCCCCAAAATGTCATATCATCTCTTTTCTTCACACTAGTCCTTAAACTATTTTTATTTCTTTCTTTCATTTCAACTAAATTCTTCCTGTTAACACTCAAATGTGCTCATTTCATTACCTTTTTAAATTATCTCCCCTCATTTTCACAATCCACCTCCAGCTACTACCCCATCTTTGTTTTTTTTTGGGGGGGGTTTGTTTGTGTTTGTGTTTACAGCCTCATTCCTTCAGTTTTCTAAATTTGTATCTGTTCTTCCCCTCCCATTCTTTAAATTGCTCCAGTCTGGCACCCCTCTACCCTCACCATATTCCTTTGAAATGGTTTAGTTCTGTGTCACCAATCTGATGGATGTTTTCTGTTTATAGAAACTGTGTTCTGTTTATTTTATGCTGCATTGTACATTTTAGATCTGTCCATTCTGTTCCATTTTCATTGCCATCATCACCTGACTCCTGAATTACAACAGTAACCAGAAAGCTAGATTTCCTATATCTTCACTTCTCAGTCTGTTCTCCATTGCAGTTAGAATGTGACTAAATGTCACTAATAATGCCTTTATACCCTCCCCCTCATTAAAACTCTTCAGTTGTTTCCCTTTGTTGCTCTATACATGGCCTTTGAGGTTCTATGTAGTATCAGAACCAAGAAGGATGATTCAGATTCCCTGTTGTAAACTGTCTTCCTCTCCTCTCCCATCTATTTCTGAATTTAGCCACATTTAAATTCCATGGAGTTGTTAATGCTTTCTTTTCCTACAAACTTGGTACACAATCCCTCCATATAGAACAAAGCCTTCCTTGACTCATTATCTTGCTGAGGTCAGGCCCCTCTATTTTTTTTTTTCTACCTGTATTTTTTAAATAATGTTTTATTTTATAATACTTTGACTCACAAGAAGTTGCAAAAACAGTATGAAAGTTCTCTTGCACCAGCTTCTTACTATTATCTTTTTAAAAGATTTTATTTATTAGAGAGAGGGCACGAGTAGGGGGAGGGGTAGGGGGAGAGGCAGACTCCTCGCTGAGCAGGGAGCCTGATGTGGGGCTGGATCCCAGGACCCTGGCATCATGACCTGAGCCAAAGGCAGACGCTTAACTGAGCCACCCAGGGGCCCCTTCCTATTATCTTAATCACAGTATATTGTCAAATCAGGAAATCGACATTGCAGCAATACTATTAACTAAGTTACTGGCCTTATTTGGATTTCACAATATTTACATGCTCTTTTTTTTCCGTTCATAAAATGACATATGGATCCATGTAATCACCATAATCATAATCTAGAACCTAACATCACAAACTCATTCTTGCTACTTAATAGTTATACCTTCATCTAACCCTAATGACCAGCATCCACTGATTTTTTTCCTGTCACTATAATGTAACTTTTAAGAGTGTTGCATCCGTAGAATCATACAACTTATAACCCTTTGAGACTGACTTTTCACTCAGTGTATTGCCCTTTAGATCCATAAGTGTTGTTGCTCTGTCAATAGTTTGTTCCTTTTTATTGCTAAATAATATTCCATTGTATGGATGTACCTCAGTCTGGTAATCAGTTCTCCATGGAAAGACCTGAATTGTTTCCACAGCCAAGTGGGGTTTATTCCAGATATGCAAGGCTGCTTTCATATTTGAAATTTAGTGAATGCAATCCATTGTATTAAGAAGAAAATAAGAAAAATGATCATATCAATTGATGTAAAAAAAGTATTTGACAAAATTCAACCCCATTTATGATGAAAACTAATTTAGCAATAGAAGGAAGCTTCCTTGGTCTGATAAAAAAAAATCTATAAAACTTACATCTAGGGATGCCTGGTTGGCTCAGTCAGTTAAGCATCTGCCTTCGGCTCAGGTCATAATCCCAAGGCCCTTGGATCAAGTCCTGCATCTGGCTCCTTGCTCAGCAGGGAGCCTGCTTCTTCCTCTGCCTGCCGCTCCCCCTGCTTGTGCTTTCTTTGTCTCTCTCTCTTTCTCTCTGACAAAATCTTTAAAAAAATAAAATAAAACATCTAGCATCATCTTGATGAAAGAATAAATGCTTTTTCCCTAAGATTGGGAATGAGACAAGGATGTGTACTCTTATCATTTCTATTCAACATAGTACTTGATATCGTTGCTAGTGCGGTAAGATTAAAAAAAGGGAATAAAAGGCATACAGATTGGAAAGGAAGAAGTAAAGCTGTCTATATTTACAGGTAACCCGATGGTCTACATAGAAAATCCCAGGAAATCTCCAAAAACATCCTGAACTAATAAATGAGTTTTACAAGATCATAGACTAAAGGTCAACAAAAATCAATCATATTTCTATATGTTAGGAATAAACAATACCATTTACGATTGCTCAAAAAATAAAATATTAAAAGAAAGAAATCAAAGAAGACTTAAATAAATGGAGAGACATATCATATTCATGGATTGGAAGACAATATAGTAAGGATGTTAATTGTCCCCCAAATGGGCTATAGATATAGTACAATTAATATCAAAATCACAGATTCTTTGTAGCTAGAACTTTATAAAATTTATATGGAAAGCAAAGGAACTAGAATAGTCTAAACAACTTTGCAAATGAAAATAAAGTTGGAAGAATCAGACTACCAGATACTGACATGTAGCTATAGTAATCAAAACAGTGGTATTGTTACTGACTGTGTGGTTTTGTCAGAATGATAGACACAGAGCAGTGGAACAGAAGAGAGTCCAGAACAGACCCACACCAGTATGGCAAACTAATTTTTGAGACAGATGCATAAGCAATTCAATGAAGGAATTGGTCTGGGACAATTGAATATCCAGCAAATGATGTGAAAAAATTAGACATTCATAGCAGAAAGGCCCTCAACCTAGACCTCCCAACTTATAAAAAAGTTATCTCAAAATGGGTCATGAATCTGGATGTAACATGTAAAACTACAAAGTTTTTACGGAAAAAGCAGGAAGAAATTTCTTTGACCTTGGGTTAGGCCAGAATTCTTCAAGTGACAGCAAAGGTGCACTCTTTTTTTTAAAAAGATGAATAAATTGAACTTTGTCAAAAATAAAAATTTATTCTGAGAATGACCTGCTAAAAGAGATGAAAAAACAAGCCATAGATAGAAAATACTTGCAATCGTCTATTAAATATAAAGAACTTTTCAGAATATATAAAGAACTTTCAAAATTCAATAGAAAAAAAATGGGCAAAAGACTTGGACACTTAAAGAAGCTGTAGGGATGGCAAATATGCACATGAAAAATGCTCAACATCATTTGCTATTAATAAGGAAGTACAGGGGCGCCTGGGTGGCTCAGTTGGTTAAGCGACTGCCTTCGGCTCAGGTCATGATCCTGGAGTCCCTGGATCGAGTCCCGCATCGGGCTCCCTGCTCGGCGGGGAGCCTGCTTCTGCCTCTGACCCTCCCCCCTCTCATGTACTCTCTCTCTCATTCTCTCTGTCTCAAATAAATAAATAAAATCTTTAAAAAAAAAAAAATAAAAAATAAAAAAAAAATAAGGAAGTACAAATTGGAAGCTATAATGACATATCACCCACACCTATTAGAATGGCTAAAAACATACCCATAATTTTATGTGTTGATGATTATGTGGAGCAACTGGGAAATGTCAAATGTTTAGCTACTCTGGAAAAGTTTGTTGTATATTTTTATATTATCATACACCTTTCATTGGGAGTATTTATCACCTTGTTTATGTTTTCAGATAATTGTATCCCTCAGTAGATTTTCTAATTACAAGAGGTCAGAGACCATGCCTATATTTGTCCACTTTTTTCATCCCAGGTTCTAGCATGATACCTGCACATAGTACATATTTCTTTTAATACAAAAAAAAAAAAAACTATGCACATCTTGATATAATTTATTTAACAAATCTTACTTCCAGAAGTAGTTTAGCTTCACTTTGTTTTGTGGCAAAATAAATAATCAGAAAGTTACCAAAAATCGAATCTGCATATCATATGAACAATATTATAAGACTGCCAGTGAGATTATATATACCATATAAAGAAAGAAAAATATAATGATTAACAATATAAACTGGAGCCATTCTCAATAAGCTGTAGAAATTCCCCAACTGTAAGGATATTGCAAATGACCAAAAGTGATTAATGGGCTATCAGAAATTTTTGTTAATGGTTCTCGAAGTATTTTTGAACTTGTTAGAAATGCAAATTATTGAGCCTCACCCAGTCTACTAAATGAGAGACTCAGGACTCTGTCCAGCAGTTTGTGTTTTAACAAACCCATCAGGTATTTCTGAAGCCCACTAAAATCTGAAAACCATTTTTCTACAGTTGACTTGGTTATTGGAAGACTGATTGGAAGAAGCAAGTGATTCTGTGGAGATTTGTATTATTTCCTTTGTTTCTTGCATTATATGTGTGTATAGTGTTCTCTGTGTTACCTTCTCTTCTGTTCCCCACCTTTTACCCCATTTCATTGTTTTTTTTTTTTTGCAACTCTATTTTCCCTTGATGCCAAAATAAAGGACTGAGGTATACAAGTATGTTTTGTATATTGAATGGAATGTGCTTGTGC